AAATATTTATTGTATATAAATATAATGTATTATTTGAATTTAAAAACTTACACTGTTACATCCTCTATCAAGCGATGCGGTAGCGTCGCGACGCCAAGTATATATAAAAATTCGTTCCAGCTTGTCAACGGTTTGCCTATGTACAGGGGCCGCGACGCTACAAGTAACTTATCTGGAGTTTTACGTCTAATAAACTTTCGATTAAAATTCCTCAGGAACCAAGTCGTTAATCAAAAATCTAACGGCACTTTTCTTATACAATGTGGATGCAAGCTTTCGATTGCGACCAGTTTGAATAAGATTGGTGCAGTCAATCCTGAGGAATGATAATCGTATACCAGAAAAGTGACATTTTTCGTTTTCCATCATTATCATAATAAGGTTCAAGATAAGTTTCAGACTCTCACGTACGTATGCTCGCACGCACACACGCAAAGCGAGTTTGTCCCTCAAGGCGCGTTTGCAGCGCTCATGTACGATTATTCGCTTGAGTGTGCAAATACGCCTTGAGAGACAATGTGTATGTGCGTGCATACGTATATGATACGTATCAAGCGGTGCGCGGTAGCATCGCGACGTCAAGATATAATAACGTTATAAGGTTAATGTTCGCGACGTCAAGATATAACATTATAAGGTTAATGTTATATTTGAATCTGCTGCAGAAAATATATTTGGTCCTATCGAGTAAGTAGATTGAAATTTTGTATATATATCTGCTTATATATGTCTGCTTATATATGTTTATTTATTGTTTTATAAGTATATTATTTTTTGATTATATCTGAATATTGTCTAAATTATAGCGCTTATTTGCAGGATAAAGCAAAATCAATCAATCCTTTCAAGAAGGCTGGTATACTTTTAGCTGGGATTTCTTCAGCTGGGGTTGCATACGGTCTTATACCGCAGAACTTTGCTAAACAGCGTAACATATTGGGTTATAGAGATTTGGCAGTAACAGACAGTAAGTACAATATAGTAGCACATATAAAACATTCAGTAGCACATATAAAACCAGATATGTAAATTAAATTAAATATTAAAATTCTGTTCTTTTCATTGCACACAGATAGAGGAGAGGGACCATAAAGCACTTAACTTCGGATGGACATAAAAACGATTAATAACTGTCGAAGTAAAAGAAATATTTACTATTTATAATGGGGTAAAGGGAATCCTTGCTCTTATGTTAAGTGATTGAACTGAAATTGAATTCAATGTGTTGAATCACGTGTAATATTATAATAGCATATTGCAATGCGAGATATATATTCATAAGTTTTATGAACATTATCAGAGAGAAATCACTGACATTATTATATTTTTGATTATATAGTTGTGAAGTAAAACTTGTAAATTCCTACGATTTTATCAAAAATGTAATAATGTCAGTGATTTCTCTCTGATAATGTTCATAAAACTTATGAATATATATCTCGCATTGCAATATGCTATTATAATATTACACGTGATTCAAAACATTGAATTCAACTTCAGTTCAATAACTTAACATAAGAGCAAGGATTCCCCTTACCCCATTATAAATAGTAAATATTTCTTTTACTTCGACAGTTATTAATCGTTTTTATGTCCATCCGAAGTTAAGTGCTTTATGGTCACTTCCCTCTATCTGTGTACAATGAAAAGAACAGAATTTTAATATTTAATTTAATTTACATATCTAGTTTTATATGTGCTACTGAATGAATTTACAAGTTTTACTTCACAACTATATAATCAAAAATATAATAATGTCAGTGATTTCTCTCTGATAATGTTCATAAAACTTATGAATATATCTCTTGCATTGCAACATGCTATTATAATATTACACGTATGCAAAGGAAGCCAAAGTATTCATACGTAGTATTTATTTTTATTATTCTTAAAGTGGATCTTACTGCAACAAAATTTTGATCGTTTTAATTTATTAATCTGTTCATCAATATACATACATAGTATGTATACTTTGGCTTTCTTTATACGTATAACTATATTACATTATTTAAGAAAAAGAAAAACCTATGATAATTATACAGGGTGTCCCATAATTCGCGGATCACCAGCCATGTGCAGGTAGAGCACATGAAACCGAGAAGAAAAGTCCTTTACCATTTTGCGATTTTCGTAATAATTATTAAGAAATTAATTAAAAAAGATGGGCCAATCACAAGCGCGCGGCGAGAAGAGACTTCCTACTCTGGCGTTGCTCGGTGCGTGGCTTCAGCGTTCGCTCGTACGTAGCCGTATACAGCGCCCCTCCCACCGCTTCGCCGCGCACCAAGCAACGCCTGAGTAGGAAGTCTCTTCTCGCCGCGCGATTGTGTAAGGCATGGATTGGCCCATCTTTTTAAATTAATTTCTTAATAATTATTACAAAAATCGCAAAATGGTAAAGGACTTTTCTTCTCGGTTTCATGTGCTCTACCTGCACATGGCGGGTGATCCGCGAATTATGAGACACCCTGTATATGCAAAAATATACATATATGATCCTTGCTTTTAAAATTGTTAATCGGTCCTATCCGTGACTTACTGAAAAGAAAATGAGATTGAGGACGAATGAGATAGATATTTTAGAATGAATTTATAGGTATAGTTAAATTGAGCTACTTTACGCAATATTTTATTGCCTATATAGGATTCAATAAAATTAACGAATGCCAATTCTACATAAATAAAACTGTACTGTATTATTGTGAGATAATATAACGTAAAGTACCATAGAGGATGCCAAAAAAGATAAATGAAGTGCCATAGAAGATACTAAAGAAGACAAAGTATTTTTTATTTTAAGTATTTTCTTTCGTAATTCTACATAAATAAAACTATACTGTATTATTGTGAGATAATATAATATAAGCACATATATATTATTTTTGAACATATATATATATATATATATTATTGTATCGTATATATATATATTATTGTTAATAATACAGTTTTATTTATGTAGAATTGGCATTCGTTAATTTTATTTTTAGTATATAATGTTTAACAATAATATATATATTTCGTTCGCAGTTGCACTGTTCGTACTGGCAGTTGTCTTCGCAATGCCTTATAGGTGGTGTCGGACATCACTTGATAGTTCTCGAAAATTGCCGTTTGATTCTTTGACAAACCATATCAAATCTTTCGATGCTTACTTTTTGTTGGAGATGGGCAGGCTAGGCTCTCCTTTATCTTCTTGCTACTACTTGGTTCCTGAGGAATTTTAATCGAAAGTTTATTAGACGTAAAACTCCGGATAAGCTATTTGTAGCGTCGCGGCCCCTGTACATAGGCAACATAGGCAAACCCATAGACATAGTATATCTAGACCGAGCGTTTGCCTTTATTTATAGCATAGCTATAATATAGCTATAGCATAGCGCTCTCTTTCGTCATGCTACGTGCGAGCGCGAGAGAACGCAACTCCTCAACACTCGGTCTAGATATACTATGTCTATGGGCAAACCGTTGACAAGCCGAAAAGTTTTTTTTATATACTTGGCGTCGCGACGCTACCGCGTCGCTTGATTATGTCTGTCTTTGTCATGTACGATTGCAGCTCTGTCTATAGCGACATCACGCAACTAATCTACTGCTCTGTTTTACTCTTGAGCCTCCATCTCGCACACACACATATGCACGAAAATTTTATTTTGCAAAAACTCACTTCTCTAAGTTCACGTGTACTCTTTGATGAAATGCCGAGTGCGGAGTTTACTGATTAGGCACGTGCAGATTACAAATCTTTTATATTTAGTAAATGTTGACGGCACGGGCCAATAACAAAACTAATTTTATAATTTTTTTTCACTTTTCATATGAAATGTTAAACTCCGCACTCCGTTATCATGTATATTTTAATTGTAGAAAAGGATTTTTTGATATCTATAATCAACAAAAAGATTTTGCACAATAACGTTTTTATCGGTAAAACAGACCTTTTGGGATCCCCTTAAAATATATAACTTTTCTAATATTTAAGGTACACTGGATTTGTTTTATCATCATCACAATAAACAAATATTTCATTTATATTAAAACAATTTAAACTTTACATGCCGCACATTAATAAAATTAGCGTTAGCGTTTTCTTACTTTTTTTTCAACATTTTAACAATGATATTAATAAAAAACTATATACTTATATTTTAAATAAACTTATAAATACCTAGATATTGTGTAAATACTTAAAACAATTGAGTTAAATAAATTTATTTGTAATATTTAGAGCCTCTGAGTGCCGGTCTACAATAGGTGATTTAAGTCTTAAGCCTTAAGAAATTGACTAATCACAATCAAGTATGAGGAAAATACTCGACTGTGATTAGTCAATTTCTTAAGTGCCGGTCTACAATAGGTGATTTAAGCCCTAAGCCTTA